TTCTCGCAAGCTATACAGAGCCGGTTTCAACATACGCTTGTGAATTCGGGACAATAAATAAACAAGCTGAACAATATCTTGAGGCCTCGAAGATGTGGTTTTACAGAAGAATCTTTAGAATTCATTGGAGAGCTAAGAAGAGTAACCCAGATGTTTTGAAAGAGGCGAGTGCTCGAGGACCACATAACACAAATATCAGAAAGAGACAGTCATTATTCTTTTCGTCATGTTATGAGAAGAGGGAAAATGAAACATGTTGTGACCACAGGAAAGTTTTGTGGAAAGAGAGACAAAGACAGCGTGAAAAGATTCTTGACAGCCTTTTCTTATGGCATGGAGGGGTGACAACACACAAACTGATACACGCAGTTATGAATCGCAGTTTTTGGGGGAGGCATGATCGCCCACACCAGTTGGCAAGGCACTTGATGATGATTCCTATGGCCAGATTTCTTCTCTCTCTGGGCGGTCTTGTAAAATATGCTCTGGCATCAGCATAATGGATCTATAGTAACTTCATTATTTTACATTCACTACAGGCTGTATCATCTAACATTCACTACAAGATTTATCATGTTACTCTCGCTAAAGGTCTACAGTACTTCACAACGTACATTTGGAAGATGCGGGAGCACTACTAGAATTATCCAAAAGCATGTTAAATCACAAATAATCCAATCCACAAAAGATATGCAATAAAATTATAAATCTTACAATACCTCCAAGTTTCTAATAATCTTAAAATGTAAAATGAACATCTTTATCATTTAGCAAAGTATGTGGTGGTGGTGGTGATGTTGATGATGATGATGATGATGATGATGATGATGATGGCATAGTTGGATGAAATGGACAAAACATAGAGAATTTGCAAGTTTCAATGTAATTTAATTGGCACAGCCAGCCACTTTTCAGGACAAACAAAAAATTAAAAATTTAATTTAATTTTAAAAAAAAAAGTCTTTTGAGGGTCTCACAGAAAGAGACCTACGTTACGTCCGACTAACAGGTCACTGTAAGACGAACTGGTCTAATTTATATTACACTATTTTCATTCAAATGGGTTATAAAAATTGTATATAAAATAAAAAAATGTAATATATTTGTATGTATAATTTTTGTAAATAATGTGAAAAATACACAATATGTACTCTTACATCAGTTCCGGGAACTTTTGATCCTACCAATGAAGTTATCTTTCTTTATTTACTGTTCTCATTTTGTTATTTTTGTGGTCGTAAGTGCAGACAGTAAATATCTCTAACAAAAAAGATATCTTATGCAGTAGTTAATATATCTTAACAAAAAAAATTATTGCAAGCAGCAGTAAATATATCTTAACAAAAAAGCTGTTATATGCAGTAGTTAATATATTCAACATAAACGTTGATATATGCAGTAAATATATCTTAACTCTTTGAGTCCCAAGAAACGCATCATACGTTCATAGATTCCTACCTAAAGGCCCAATGAACGCATGATGCGCCGATTTTACATCTTTTTTTACTACCCCTTGGGACTCAAAAAGTTTAACAAAAAAGTTGTTATATGCAGTAGTTAATATATTCAACAAAAATGTTGATATATGCAGTAAATATATCAACAAAAAAGTTGTTTTATGCAGTAAATATATCTTAACAAAAACATTATTATATGCAGTAGTTATTATATTTAACAAAACAGTTTTTATGTGCAGTAGTAAATATACCTGTTCATTTGTCTGTTCCAAGGTCAAACTATCCTCTTCTTCTTTCTTTTTCCGAAGTTCTCTTTCTTTTCTCAGTCTCTCCATCATTGCATCTTGCTCTTGTTCAGCTATTTAAGAGATTTACTTCATTAATAAAAACGGAAATATGTTTCTTCAATGCCCCTATAAATTTAAAACAAAAGTTAAATAAACGAATCTTTTTCACGCGTTTAGGTGCATTGGGCATATAGGGCTAGACTTATGTTTTATAGACCAATAGACATTATTTGGTGGGTGATGTAGTCGGCATCTGGTAATCTGGTAATCCTAGTTTCAGCTTCATAGCAAACGGGTCACCCCATAGTTGCTCCGCTCCTGTGCCAACGAAAAACACACGTAGCTCACAGTGTCACGCCATGCACTCAACTCAGAAGCTGGGCGACGAAACTATAATCATCATGCCAGCTATCTTTACTTCCCAGGACTTTTACCTGTACCCATTAAAGGCTGGGTCGACCTCGGAGCCAAGGTCAATTTAAAACAAAAGTAAGGAGTACACCAACATTGCAGGGAATCACGTGGATATACCAAGACCTGCGCTAGCTAAGGGGCCATGCTGCTGACGTCACCAAACCGGGCTAATGATACGCTAACGCAGCGTTTCTTAAACTTTTTCACTGGGCAAAAAAAAATGTTGCAGCACACCTAGCCTTAAAGCAGTTTAAATACTTAAGAAAAAAAGAAAAAAAACAGTGCAAATTTATTGTCAAGCAGATTTTGAAAAAATTCTCAATTATTGCTGTGGCACCTCTGACACACCTCACAGCACCCAGTTTCAGAATCGCTGCATTAACATACTGTAAACCTGGTTTGGTGACATCAGCAGCATGGCTCGTCAGCTGAAGCCGGTCCTGGACAGACTGTCTGGGATATGCAGGAGTGCGAGGGAATAAAAGAGCGTGTTTTCTGGTTACAAAAGCGATAGCTACAAAAACACGCATAGTGGACAAAGGAGATATTCTGAAGACCATAGATAAACAAATGCTAATAGAAGACAGGAGATTAGATTAAATAACATACAAAAATATGTGAACAAGGAATTAGGAGTGGATCGGGCAAAAGACATGTGTGTAATCAGTGTAGCGGTAAAGGACATGTGTGTAATCAGTGTAGCGGTAAAGGACATGTGTGTAATCAGTGTAGCGGTAAAGGACATGTGTGTAATCAGTGTAGCGGCAAAGGACATGTGTGTAATCAGTGTAGCGGTAAAGGACATGTGTGTAATCAGTGTAGCGGTAAAGGACATGTGTGTAATCAGTGTAGCGGCAAAGGACATGTGTGTAATCAGTGTAGCGGTAAAGGACATGTGTGTAATCAGTGTAGCGGCAAAAGACATGTGTGTAATCAGTGTAGCGGTAAAGGACATGTGTGTAATCAGTGTAGCGGTAAAGGACATGTGTGTAATCAGTGTAGCGGTAAAGGACATGTGTGTAATCAGTGTAGCGGTAAAGGACATGTGTGTAATCAGTGTAGCGGTAAAGGACATGTGTGTAATAAGTGTAGCGGTAAAGGACATGTGTGTAATCAGTGTAGCGGTAAAGGACATGTGTGTAATCAGTGTAGCGGTAAAGGACATGTGTGTAATCAGTGTAGCGGTAAAGGACATGTGTGTAATCAGTGTAGCGGCAAAGGACATGTGTGTAATCAGTGTGCTGCACGAACAGTTAGCATCTACACCTTAAGACAATTGCTGCGGGAGATGGAGCATCTATGAGTATGCCCGGTGTGCTATGATGTTGATTATTAAATCAATAACCAATCACTCATTTAATCTTAAAGAATGTAACTGATCTGTTTGACTGATTCTTAACCCTTTCGCTGCTATGGACGTCTTTTCCCGATTTGCCGTACGCTGCTACGCCCGTCTTTGGACATTATTTTTTTTCTTGACCCCCAGTGCTATGGACGTCCCAAGCCGTTTTTGGACTTTTCTTACATATTTCTGTTACTTTGTATTCTATTGGCTGAAGAGCAATATACATTAGCTATAGTTAGATTAAACTGACCCATTTGGTGTGTTTAAGGTGTGTTTACTGCATTCTGCGTTATCCCGTTGCTTTGTTTACCGTGACAGCGTGGTAGGTGATCTGTGTATTTTGTGCCCTGATATATATTTGTGCTTTTGGATTTTCCTACACTTATTACAAAATGGCAAGAAAACTTGTTAAAGTTGAAGAATTGATGGAGTTTCTGTCAAGGAGTGATAGCGAAGATGACTTTGAAATGTGTACTTCTGACAGTGAACAAGAAGATTTTACTAGGCCATCAATATCGATGGCTCAAACCGGCGTGTCCAAGAAAAAGCTGTTTGCCTGTCCGACGTCCTCATCATCGGAATCAGAGAGCAGCGACAATGAAGCGCCATCAAAACGGCACAAATCTGATCAATTGTCTTGGTCAACCGATGATTTAATACCAGTAGTACATAATTTTGATGACTCCAGCTCTGGCTGTATTTCTGCTACTGTGAATTCAAATAGTTCAGTGCTTGATTTTTTTCTACTTTTTTTCACGGAATCACTGATGACTTTCATAGCAGAGGAAACTAACAAGTTCTGCAAGGAAATAATTGAGAAGGCACCTGCCGCTATAAGTTCTCGACTTTCCCGATGGACAGACACAGATTTGGATGAACTATTTTGTTTTTTTGCTGTCTGTCTGCTAATGCCAAGAACAAAAAAAAACTAAAAAATAAATGAGTACTGGAGCTAAGACTGTTTGCTAAAAACTCCTGTGTTCAGTGAAATAAGAAATAATGTCCAGGGACAGATTTTTAATATTGTTGAGACTGCTACATTTCTCAGACAACAGTGCTAATGTAGGCGGTGATAGACTCTACAAAATTAGACACATTATTGATAGTCTGCGCACATCGTTTCAGGGTGCATTTACACCTTATCGGGATGTGGTTATCGATGAATCACTTCTTCTTTACAAAGGAAGATTATCTTTCAAACAGTACATTCCGTCAAAGAGAAGTAGATTTGGCATGAAAACATTTGCTATGTGTGATTGTAGTACAGGATACATTTTAGATTTTATAGTTTACACTGGTGTCAACAGTGACATTACTGTGTCAGGTTTAGGGAAGGGGGCTGATATTGTGTCAACTTTACTGGCGCCATATCTACAGAAAGGTCATAGACTTTATGTAGATAACTGGTATACTAGTCCAGAACTATTTATGTGGCTTCATGGTCAAGCTACAAATGCTTGTGGCACTGTGCGAAAAACGAGGAAACATATGCCAAAAATGGAGGAAAAGTTGAAGAAAGGAGAAATTAGCTCCAAGTCTGCTTCAAGTTTGCTAGCCATGAAATGGTCTGATAAACGTGAGGTATGGATGCTGACAACATGTCACAATTCAGATACGGTAGCAACAGGGAAAACGGATTGGAAAACTGGGCTAAATATTGTGAAGCCAAAGAGTGTTGTGGACTACAACAAATGCATGGGTTCAGTAGACCGTACTGACATGCTTCTTAGTTCAATTGAGTCTATTAGAAAAACTGTGAAATGGTACAAAAAGCTTTTTCCCACGTGTTAGATCTCTCGATTTTAAATGCGCATTGCTTATATAAAATTGTTGTGGGGAAAAACATTCCTGTTGCAGATTTTCACCTAACTCTAATTAGAGAAATTCTAGGAAAATATTGTAAAGAACAGAGAAAGAGTGTAGGAGGACGAAGGAGTGAAGATCTGCCACTACGGTTGGTGCAAAGACATTTTCCTTCAACAATAGAGTCCAAAACACCACAGAAGAAGGGCCCAGCAAGAAAGTGTGTGTTAAAAGCGACGTGAAACCAGATACATGTGTAAGGACTGTAATGTGGCACTGTGTGTTATACCTTGCTTTGAAATATTTCACACACAAGAATATAATTAGCAGTATTAAAAACTATATAATTGGTTACTGTAGTTCACTGTGTTTGATTTGTAAGTTTCTAGTGTTTCCTTTTTGTAAAGGGGATGTTATTTAAAATTATTACTTTCTATATTATTAAAACTCTGCTGTATGTGCCTCTGGGCGCGATGAGGATTGATTGTCGATACTAAACAACAGACGATGCACATGCCAGTTTATCACATACTAAAATACTAGTCTAATTTTTGGTCGCTACTTTCCAAGATAATCTAGTGTAGTTGGTATCACGTCCGCCTTAGAATCGGAAGGTCTTGGGTTCAACCCCCAGCTTTGTATTTTTTTTTTTTTTTTTTTTTTGGTTGGTGTGAATTTTTCTTTCAGTTCTTGCCACTTTTCAGCAATGGATGACTAAGGTATTATTATTATTTTTTTATCGTGACTATAATTAACTGTGATTGAAATTTTAGGTTCGTCAATCAAATTTTTGGATAGGGACTGGGAACAATTCTTCCCACTCCCCCCACTCCCGGTGTGATAGTGTCGTCAGCCAAGCTTGTGGGGCACCACTCGGACCAACCACACAACTCCCTAGGGTACAAAATTTTAGGTGTACAAAATATAGCCCTCACCGCCGACGCATCTTTCGCGTTTGGAGGATAGAAAAGTATTGCGCACAGCAGAGACTTTTTTTTTTCACATTGCTTAGCACAGGGAAGACAGCTATCGCCGGGAACGTAGCAGCGAAAGGGTTAATAATACTAAAGAAACATGTTCATTTCAATGAAAATATAGGGTGATTTACCTCCCTTGACTCTATAATTTTCCAAACTAAAACACCCTGTGTGAGTTCCGGGACCCCATTGTGGGGTAAAACAAGAATAGACCCACTGCCTGCCCGAAAGCATGTCATAAGAGTCGACTAATTGGGAGCTTCCTTGGAAGTCAGAGTACATCTGCCTGAGAGGCAAGGAACCAACAGTCTGCACACAAATGTGTCAGATCTGTCAAACGGACGCACACGCAACACTCAGGTTTTGGAATAGGACTGCAGTCCAGAAGTGGACGAACAACCAGAACTTTCCACCAGGGTTTCCAGCTGGTGAACACGAAGAATAAGAAAAAAAGTAAATTTTACCAGTTTATGGATTCTTTAAAAGTAAAACTTAAAAAAAGGACACAAGGACCCTTTGTACACTTTAAGTGCATTGGGTAAACAGCACTATAAATTTGGATGATCTTATACTTCAGGTTTCTTAGAAAACTATAAATGAGGGTTTGAATAACAGATCAACATCATGGCACACAGGTGTAACCCAGAAGTCCTCTGTTCCTCTTCTAACTCAAGTCTGAGTAAGAAGAAGCTCATAACAGTGCACCGGCTTTGTAGCACTGGCAAGGATCCTGAAATTCTTTGGGTAGCTTTATAATTTCAAATTGTGTCTGGGCAGCGCCGTTAAGATACTCTTTTCGATTTCCAACTGCCCAGGGATTTTTCACGTGCGCAACAACGCACACGGGCTTCCGATCTCACTACCCAGAGACCAGGGGGAATTACTAGAAGTCCAAGTCCACGTGATAAAATCCCAGCCCTTACCAGGAGTTGAACCCGGAACCTCTAGCACTTGATGCGGACATAATTCCTAGAGACCACACAGCCCCCTAAAAAAAAAATATATAATAAATTGTTTATATGAAGTAGGGCAGAATTATCACTTTAAACACTGTGTGTACCTTTAACAGATTGTTTATTTATTATCAAAGGTATATGCATCTATCAAGCTAACCTTGTTTCTTTTTTTCTCTTTCACGCATTATATGTCGTTTCAAAGCCTCATACATGGCTCTGGTCATTTTTGGCCGTTCCAGTAAGGCCGGCATATTGGATGGTTTCACTCGCTTCAGTCCACTGGTTTAGAGATCTGCAAAACAAGAGTTATTTTTTATTTATATCAGTTCTATTTTGATGACCAAGAAGGTCAGCGAATTAAAAAGAATAACAAATTAATCTCTAAGGAAACCTACAAATTAATTAACATATTCCATCTTCAATTCTTCAAGAATGAGAGGCCTGTACTTGGGAACAACAAACATTTCAACTGTGTTTGATTCTTCTTCCACTGCCATTTGCACCCCAATGGAGTACATGCTAAAATCAACTCATGTCATATCTCCTATCCTTTGTTACTGTGTGAAACTCACCCCATCTCCTCCCCTGTTTACAAATAGGGACTGGCAACACAGATCTATTTTTAGGTCAGATTTTTCATGATTATAACTGTATAACTTTTTTAATAAAATGCTGTGTCTTTCAGGATAAAATGGGAAGTGAAAATCTGTAGATACCGGCTCTTCAACTTGACAACTAAATGAAAATATCACATAATAGAAAGTCTGTTCCTTGTCTTGGCTGTACACTTTCTCAGACTGCTGGCTGTCCATCTTTTGATTTTCTTCTCCCATAGTTATCGCTGTCTACCTTTTGTCTTTGACTTTTCCCTGCATTATGGTTTTTAAAAGAGTGTTACGCCAAATATGATGTTTATTAGCATGCGCATGACACATAAACTGATTCACTGATAGGCGCTCACAAATACAGAAGACAAATTTTAAGACAATCATAGCATGTTTTTTTTTTTTTTTTTTTTTTTTTTATTCGCGGCAACCATGTGGGATGCAATTTTTTGCTATTTTGAAGCCCCACTTTGGCTGTCGCCGGGGCCCTAATATAACCTAACGGTTGAACAGGGTTTCCATGACCTCTCCACAGGTGACCCTCATCAGAATGGTGACACTTTGTGTCACCGGCTGTTTATCGCTCTGTGTGATGTCCTGGTGGGGTACAACTCACTACTGACAGTCATAGTCAGCTGCATACCGTGGCAAGGTGACATTTGTCACAGGCGTGAGGGGAAGTTAAGTCCAACATGATGTGTATAAGGAGATACTCCGTACGTCACTCGGGCGCCAGTCCTTAACTATCCTGGTTGTACGGAACCTCATGCAAGACCCCTACAGCAGGTCCTCGTCGTGCGCCACAGATAATGTCTCAAATGAGCATTAACAGAGCTGTCAGGGGATCTCTGAGTTCGGCGGCCCCCAGAGGTGATGTGTCCTTGTGGCTCTCATCAGCCCGCCCCCAAACGCTTGGGTGAAAAATGTTATCAAAACTCATTAGGAACATGAGTAGGTTTGCCAAACGTACAGCCAAAATTACAACCCTTGGTTAAAAGACTGCGGAGTAAAGAGAACATTGTTCACTGCACATCCTCTGTTAACCCTCAGTGTCGTCGTCACCGCGCTGAGGTGCACCACAACAGCAACCATCCATAGGCTGGCCATCCTTGTACATCCTCGGTTAACCCCCAGTGTCGTTGTCACCGCGCTGAGGTACACCACAACAGCAACCATCCATAGGCTGGCCATTCATGTTCATCCTCGGTTAACCCTTAATGTCGTCGTCACCGCGCTGAGGTACACCACAACAGCAACCATCCATCGGACAGCTAAGCCTAATAGTCCGACAAAACTAGATCATACGGATCAAAATCTGACCATCAAAATTTGCATTGAACTGAAAAAGACCGAATGTCCACACCCAAAGACCCCACTCGCCCGAGTGTTGGGACAAAACTGATAACGATATGCCTGAGGCAGGATGTAAAATTCTGTCGGGCTAACGGCTCGTCAAAGAAATCTAACGTGCGAAGAAAAAAGAATGTACCTATCTGTGTGGTCACAAAAGTCCAAATCCCGCGGGCAGCTCCCCGCTGACATCCAGAGGGCGCAGCCCCTGTCGAGCGGGAGGCCTGATACGGTTGTGAGGTTAAGCAGGCATGTGCAGGACGTGACGATTCCTTGGGTGAGCCCAGAACCAGAGCGCCATGTGCCGGCTCTGCATGCATGGAAGCCTCCTTGGATGGCGGGGAATGCCCATGATCTGCCCCTGCCTTCCCTTGAGGGCTAACTGTTCCACAGGGGGCTGCCCCAAAGGGGTACTCCGAGGGCAATACCTGCGGAGAAGGAGAAAAAGTGGACACCACACAAAACAATGGCCACAGTCAACCTAGAAATAGGCCTGACGTCTTCCTTCGAAGTCAGAGTACAGCTGCCCATGAGGCAGGGAAATGAAAAACGGTTGTACACGCAAAAATCAGGTCCAGGTGAAAGCCAAAAGTCCAAGCGGACGATTAACCGGGACCTTCCACTGGAATTCACAGCTGGTGATGATTAAAAAAAAAAAAAAGCTGCATACCCTCTACAGGACGTTGTAGAACAGCATCAGCATTTGCTTTTCCTGTTTGGTTTTACTAAGCAATTTTACCTTCACTGAATTGCAAAGAAAAGATATCAATATATGTCTTCTTTGGTTTTTAAATAATGCTCTTTTAATGTTCAATGGCCCAAGGGCTTCTCAGCCATTGGTTACGCCTAGTTTACTGTTTTTGTTTTCTCTGTCCATCGCCTCAAAAGTGGAGTCAGTATAATACATAAAGTATATAAAACGTCATCCGCTGTGTTTACATATGACTTAATCTTAAATTTTAAATCATCCCTACGTCGATCGCATGCAAGGCATTACTAACGGGGTGTTTTGTGTCTAAATCTCTATCATATATACTCGGTAAACTGACTAAATGGCGGTAATGCAATGGACGTCTGCTGTGCTACTACTCCATGATACG